TGCTGATTGGTCAATGAATAAATCACTGATTGGTCAGTGGCCAGGCAGGAAGTATAGGCGGGACTAACAGAGAGGAGAATTGAGAGAACAGGAAGCTGGGAGAGAGAGACACTGCCAGCCGCCACCAGGACAAGGAAGATGTAAAGTACCGGTAAGCCACAAGCCACGTGGCAAGGTATAGATTAATAGAAATGGATTAATTTAAGCTGTAAGAACAGTTAGCAAGAAGCCTGCCACGGCCATACAGTTTGTAACCAATATAAGTCTCTGTGTTTACTTGGTTGGGTCTGACGGCTGTGGGACTGGCAGGTGAGAGAGATTTGTCCTGACTGTGGGCTAGGCAGGAAAACTCTAGCTACAAATGGCGTCCAACGTGGTGGCAAGAGTTTCCACCTAAAAACTGAGAGAAAAGATTCTAAACTGGAGCTAAAAACAGCTTCCTAATTGTCTCTCTCAAATGAGCGGCAGCTGCCGGTTTGAGCTACTGGCGGGTTCCTAGCGTGCGTGCATGCTCGACCTGCAGTATGGCGGGAATGAGGCCTCTGCAAGTGGCACATTAAGCTGTGTGGTGGATTTAGCCTTTGCTAGTACAAAACAAAACAAAAAAGAGAGGTTTCTGGGCTACATGCTGCTTGATAGAAGCATAGACCCACTATTTCTGAGAGTTGATGGCTCCCAGAGCTGGCGGAAAATGTATCACCGCCATGTTGGGAAGCTGAAGTGGGCGGAGCCAGCAGCCACAGCGCCAGCGCCATTTCAGGCTTAGAAGGCTGCAGTTTAAAGCAATAGGCTCAAGCTAATATAAAAAAAATAAGCCACGTAAAGATGGCTACCACACAGAGAATCTGGATTATGTTCTCTTTGATATTCGTAACTGAAAAAAAAATTTGATTACAAAAGCTGTTGAGTTATGCCAAAATGTACATTTTAAAGGTACCTTGACTTCAAAATTTGGATGTAAGGATATGTTGCTTTGGAAAGGAGGCTCTGCTTTTGTTTCCACAGAAAGCCAGAGGCTATGGATTTGTTCCAGATTAAGACACATCAGGTTTGACCAGCCAAGACCACCTGAAAGGTCTCCGATGACACCATGGCCCAGATGATCCAACATCCAGAATCCTTTCAAGGCAACTGGCTCAGACGATACAGCCTCACGGACTACTCCATGATCCTTAAATTTTCTTTGTATCCTCATAAGATACAGCGCCCCCCTCCAGCAGGAAGTAGTAAGAGAAGCTATGCCCAAATTCCCAAATTATATGTAATTTTACTTTGTTAAGGTTAAAAACCTTCCTTTTTGAAAAAAAAAAATGGGGGAAGTGCTGTGGGATGGTCTGTATGTCAAATGTGTTGCTGATTGGTCAATGAATAAATCACTGATTGGTCAGTGGCCAGGCAGGAAGTATAGGCGGGACTAACAGAGAGGAGAATTGAGAGAACAGGAAGCTGGGAGAGAGAGACACTGACAGCCGCCATCAGGACAAGGAAGATGTAAAATACCGGTAAGCCACAAGCCACGTGGCAAGGTATAGATTAATAGAAACGGATTAATTTAAGCTGTAAGAACAGTTAGCAAGAAGCCTGCCACGGCCATACAGTTTGTAACCAATATAAGTCTCTGTGTTTACTTGGTTGGGTCTGACGGCTGTGGGACTGGCAGGTGAGAGAGATTTGTCCTGACTGTGGGCCAGGCAGGAAAACTCTAGCTACAAGAGGACATTTAAAAGGATGGTATTACAGAAGGGAGGGGCCAGTTAGGACATCCCAGATACCACGATGGAAAACTTGAACTTGCTCTTTGAAGCAGAGTCCCTCCCTAAAGGTTATTAGCTAGACTCAACTAATGACACTCACATTCCCATGCGTCTCCTGAAGACCATGAAGGTGGATTAGAGGAAGAAACTGCTGATGTGTTCGAGTCAGAAACTCCTGACATATGATTACTGCAGGAACCAAGATAAGAAATGGTGAGGGTGTGCAGTGGTGGAGGCAGAGAGAGAGTAGGGTCAAGAGTGGTCAGAAAGAAGTGGCATTCTATCAACCACGATGGTGGGGGGAGGGGGAAGAGGGGAGGGGAAAGAGGAAGGTATAGGGAGGGAGGGAGGGAGGGAGGGAGGGAGGGAGGGAGGGAAGGCTCCATCACTTTGTGATAGTATATCACTAGTCAGGACAGAACGGGATGGATTTAGAGATGGTATGTTCAGATTCAGTATTAGTAACAGCCGTCAGGTGAGCATGGCTTGGCCCCCATCTTACAGGCTAGTGTCTCATCCGGACTACTGCAGCCACCAATAATACTCAGGCCCTCACGACCCTGGGAAGTCCTCAGGAACAAGTGTCCCCGATGCCATGAAAATGCCACAGGAAGAAAATCCACATGTGCTCCTTGGAGCTGCCTGGCCTCCAGCACTTACTGGAGAGAAGGGATATTTAGACCAGTTGTGTGTCCTGTACTGTACCTCACGCCCTCCAGCTAGGGCTGTTCTCCTACCTTGTAGGGAAGCCCTCTTAGTTAGGGTTATTATAGCTGTCATGAAACATCATGACAAAAGCCACCTGGAGAGGAGCGGGTTTGTTTGGCTTACGCTTGCACATCACTGCTCATCTTCAAAGGAAGCCAGGGTGGAAACAGGGAAGGCATCTGGAGGTAGGGGATGATGCAGAGGCCATGAAGGGGTGATGCTTACTGGCTTGCTCATCATAGCTTGCTCCTCCTGCTCTGTTATAGGACACAGGAACCACTGGCCCAGGGATAGCACCACCCCCAGTGTGTTGGGCTCTCCCCCCTCAATCACTAAGAAAATGCCCTACTGCCAGATCTTACAGAGACATTTTCTCAACTGAGGTTCCCTCCTTTCAGATGACTCTAGCAAGTTGACATTAAACCAGCCAGCCCACCCACCTGACACTTGGTTTTCTTCTCTGGAAGCTCCAGGCATGTGTATGTGAGAGGCAGACTCCACATCCTCACTATGTTTGTGTGCCTACGTGTGGATAAGATACAATGGGTGTGTCTGTGTGTGTAAGCACAGGTCCACAGAGAAAAGGGGGGTGGGCAGAGATACACAGAGAGGAGGAGACAGCAAGAAGAGGGGAGCTGAGAAAGAGGCCCAGTCCACCATGGTGATGAGAGTGCTAGGCCCCTACCAAGTGAGTCACAGGCTTGGTGGGCACAGCGGGTGACCTGTGAATTTCCAAGTGAGGAGGTGGCTGCCTTCCAGGAATCCTCTGTATTGAAGCTTCACTTCACAGATTAAGTTAATTTGTCTGACATGGTTAATCCTAGGACTTGGAAGTCTGAGACAGGAGAATTAATTTGATGCTAATTATATGGGCAAGATCATGTCTCAGTGTTTTGTAATTTACACTTACTTATTTATGAATGTATACATCTGTGTATGTGTGTGGGTGTTTGTAGTGGTTTGGATGGGAACGGCTCCTATAGGTTCATAGATTTAAATGCTTGGTTCCCAGTTGGTGACTTATTAGAAAGGATTAGGTGGTATGGCCTTGTTGGAGGAGGTGTGTCACTGAGGGGTGGGGTGGGCTTTGAGGTTTCCAAAGTCCACACCAGACCCAGTATCCCTCTCTCTGCTTCCTGCTTGTGGCTCAAATGTGAGCTCTCAGCTACTGCTCCAGCACCATGCCTGCCTGCCTGCTGCCACCCTCCCCACCATGATGGTCATAAACTCACCCTCTAAAATGGTAAGCAAGACCCCCAGTTCATGCTTTCTTTTATAAATTGCCTTGGCCGTGGTGTCTCTTCATAGTAATAGCACGGTGACTAAGACCATGTGGAGGTCAGATGACAACTTGCGGGCGTCCGTTCTCTCTCCACCACATAGAAAGCCATGTCTTTAAAAACAAAAGTCTCCAAGGTGGCCTCTCAAGTGACAAAAATCAAGTCACCAGTTCTCCTAGTGACCAACTCATAAAGCTGCATCCCCCAAATGCCCATTGGTTGGATGACTTTTTAAGCTTCCTATCTAGGTCTTCCGTTTCCTCATCATCTTGCTCCGTCCTCTCATGGCCTCTGGACTTCCCTGTCCATGTGCACATAAATCAGGAGAGGGAAACAAAGGCAGGGGAGGCTGAGGCCAGGGGAGACATCAGTCATCTTCACTCACATCTGTAAGGCAAACGGGGCTGAGCCACACACAGCAGACCACCAAGGACCATTGGGGAGAATGGTTGGGCTGTCCCAAGCCACGACATCAGGACTCGGGCCGCTTCACTGAGGCTGGAGGCACCAGAGAGGGCTTCAACCACAGAGGTCAGAGCTAGTGGAATGGCTGCAGGTGACCAGCACATGCCCTGTACACTCCTGTGGTTCTGCACACAGTGAACTATTGGCTCCTTCAGCTGCCCAGCCCTGCAGCCCAAACTCTGGAAGCCACCACAAACCCACCTAGGACTTTCTAACTCCGAGGAGCCCCGGCTTCTTTCACCTCTCCCGCTGACACTTTCTCCCCACAATACTTCCTCTAGTATGGTACCTTTCAGCCCAGAAATCTGGAGGGAGAAGGTTCTCTCATAGATAAGGTTTTTCTATTACTGGAGCCAAGAGCCTGCTCCTGGGCACACAGCCATGGCAGAAGACTGTGCCTGGCTTATCATTGGGCCTCATGCCAGCCCATTTCTCCTTGGGCCAATGGGAGCTAGAACCAGAGTGATGGACATCCATCCTAGGCAAGGATGAGATGGAAAGCTTAGGGAGTCTGTACCATCAGATAATGCTGGGACACCTCCAGTCTACAGATGAAATCCTTACAGAACAGAAGTCCCAAGACAGCAGACCCAGGCCTGAACCTCCCAAAGCACAGACATCCCCAAAGAAGAACTCGGTTGCTACCTTCTTCCTATACAAGCACATAAAAGCAGATGGGCCAGGCTTATGCTGTGTGTACCCTGCCCCCAGCCTCAGACTATCTCCAGTCCTTCTCTATCTCCCCCCTCCATCCTTTCATGAATATCCCAGTGAAACAGTTCTCATCATCCTGCCTGATTATCCCTGCTAGGCTCACTGTGGCTTCAGCACTGGATCCTGTCCTTCCCAGATTTCAGAGGAGGAAGCTTTAGCTCACAAAGTTTCACTTACAGGTCCAGGTCAAACAATCTGCAAGTGGAGAGTCCCATGTAACCATTTCATTAGCAAAGGCTAACTTGGTGAGTCTCCAAGTCAACTTCTCCCTGTGTCCTCCAATCACTGTTCCAACTGGCCATGGGACAGTGTCTTATATAAATGTGTTTATGAACTGTAGGGCCACAGTTCATACTGGGCCTGCCAATTACAAAGAATCCCTCAGCTCAAAAATAGTAAGTGTGCTCTCTTTCCGCCATCTTTCCGTGCCGGCACCATGTCGCGCGTGAATGTCCTGGCTGATGCTCTCAAGAGCATCAACAATGCTGAGAAGAGAGGCAAACGCCAGGTCCTCATCAGGCCCTGCTCCAAAGTCATCGTTAGGTTCCTAACTGTGATGATGAAGCATGGTTGCATTGGTGAGTTTGAAATCATCGACAACCACAGAGCTGGGAAAATCGCTGTGAACCTCCCAGGCAGGTTGAACAAGTGTGGGGTGATAAGCCCTAGGTTTGATGTGCAACTCAAAGACCTAGAAAAATGGCAGAACAATCTGTTCCCATCCCGTCAGTTTGGCTTCATTGTACTGACAACCTCAGCTGGCATCATGGACCATGAAGAAGCAAGACGAAAACACACAGGAGGAAAAATCCTGGGATTCTTTTTCTAGAGATGTAAAACACATTAATAAAAAGCCTCCATGGACCAAAAAAAAAAAAATAGTAAGTGCATTGTGTTTACAGACACACTCACTAAGATCTTTAATTGAAAGGTCTAACAATGAAAGGCCATGACCTGACCCTTCTCATGGGGAATCCAGAAAAAACCTGGTCCCCTCACTAACAGCCTCCTGAAGAGGGAGAGGAGCAGCCTCACGCCAACTCCACATCTGCCTTACCCAGGTCCCCTGAGGCACACAGACAGGGGAGCTTAACAGGCCTTTGAAGAACCCACAGTGAGGACCTGAGTCACAGTTATGGGCCTCAGGCAGCACTAAGATGCTGCTATTCCTGCAGCCTGCACAAAGGCAATGTGGGAGCCTGCAGGGCTGGCTGGACAAAGGGAAGGGCATTCTAGGATGTGTCCTTGGGTGAGGGGACCAGCCAATGAACCCATGAAAAGAATTTCCAGCAATGAAGGACACCAGAGAAAACCACTGGAGGTACCAGGCCAAGAGGCTGATGAGAATAACCTCAACTATCCCTCTCCTTCATGTCAACCAACTGATGAGTGGTAGAGAGACTAAGGTGACCGAAGGGCTACCCGGAGTCCTGCTTAAGCAAATGTGACAATAACATTCTTTGCAAAGAGAGAGACTCTGGGGCTCCATACTGACTATGTCTCAATGTAATTAGAACTATGGTCTGTTGGCCACAGAGGTCAAGATGTGGTAATAACCATTTGCAATGGATTCAGGAGAAAATTAGGAAGGGAACTTGTGTCCATAGACATGTGAAGATTTTGGTGAACTAGAGCCATCCATCCTTCCTTCCTCGAACATGACCACACTGGACATCTGGTAGAAAGCGTGCATGTTGGGCTAGAGAGACGGCTCAGCCATTAAAGGCTAGGTTCACAGCCAAAAATATAAGAGAGTGTGCATGTCCTCAGAGTCAAAAAAGAGAAACATGGCCTGAGAATGTGTCCTAATGGCAGAGCAGTTGCCTAGAATGTGTGAAGCTCTGGCTTTATTCCTAGCACCGAGAAACAGAAACATGCACATGAACACACACACACACACACACACACACACACACACACACACACACACACACATACACACACACTCATATTCTCTCTCTCTCTCTCTCTCTCTCTCTCTCTCTCTCTCTCTCTCTCTCTCTCTCTCTTTTTCTCCCTCCCTCCCCATCAGGCCATTTCAGTGCACTATTATGGACTCTAGGAACCAGGTAAGAGAACCTTTGAATCAGCAGTTTCATGTGCACTGGGGTCATTAAGTAATGACAAGAGTGAATTACTAATGATACTTTTCTGGTTGACTTCCTTGCATAATTCTTCTCTGTCTCCTTTACTAGTTTATAAGCCCTGCCTCATGTGAGCTCCCACAGCCTAGAACCCAGCCTGGCATTTAGAAGGCACACAGTGAATACTTAGAGGGTATATATAGATTGGCAGCCTTTCGCTTCTGCGTTTAAAAGTTGCTGGCACAAGTCAGGTGCAAATGAGGGTACCAGTAAAGGGCTTCGCTCAGTCATTTCTGTCTCTCTACACTGGCCCACGACATCCGTTCTCCACAGTCAGGTATTCAGCCTTCCCAATGGTTGTGGGGTGAGACAGAATTCCAGGGTCTGTGGGCATTTCCAAGAAACCTTGCCCTGAGGATGCCACCCACTGGCCCTAGAAAGCAGGCATGAAAACCTCTGTACCCGATGCAGGGGGAGATTCTGGGCCATGGAGCCATGAGGCAGCAGTGGAGGAGCCTCCACACTGCTCCCTATTGATTGCCACAAATGAATTTCTTTGTGGAAAAGAACAAACTGCACCATAGTGAGACCAGCCAAGGCCAGGCCAGTGCAGCAGCCTGGTGTCTGGGGCATGCTAATTACTGTGCTGTCTGAGTCCATCTGATGGACTTCTCCCTACCACTGTTCCATAACCAACACACTAATCTGTCCTCCACCTGATGGCTTCCAAGCAGGCCAGAGACTTACTAATCAACTCTAATGCAGACGGGTGATAAAGGAAGAAAACTGTAATGTGGAGATTAAAAGCCGTGATGTCAGCGTTGAGAAGATCGCAATTCACTTAGCGTCCTTTGTAGCCCATGTCAAGGACTATTAGCTGAATTGCTTATTGCATTTGGGGCTCCTGCTTACAACCTAATCCTGACTGCTCCACCCCGTCTCTCTCCAGTGTGTGACAGGAATTCTTCATGCTGGCATGGCTCCCATATGTGATGGATGTTACAAACACAGATCCTCTAATGAGCCTTTGGAAGCTGCAAGGGATAGGCAGTTGTCTGGGTGAACCCGAGCATGATGGTGTTTCTGTGGTACAGAAACAGAGGCCCTGTGGAAGACAGTGTGGTACTGGGAAATGGCAGTGGAATTTGTTTAACAGTTTTATTAAGGTGTAATGGACATGGCAAATTGCATTTTTAACATATGAATGGCTACAATCAAGAGAGTGAACATACTCATCACACAGTTTTCTTGTGTCCATGTTTTTTCCCTTCTGTCCCACCTTGTCCCCAACCCAGATCCCTAAGCAAGCACTGATCTCCAATCTATCGCTATAAATTTCTTACATAGCTATGCTATTCTAGAGTTTTCTATAAGTGCAGTGTGTACTCTTAGGCTATTTGCTTTCTCTCCTAATTATTCTGAAAACGACCCATGTTGCTCCTTGTACTAGTAACTGATTCCATCTTATCGTTGAGTGGTATTCCATCTCAAACATATGCTCAATTCATTTACCCATTCACTTGTTCCTGGACATTTCAGCTTCAGGTTTGGAAATATTACAAGTTAAGCTATTGCATGCATCTTTGTGTGGATTGTGCTTGCATTCCTCCTGAGTAAATACCTGGGAGTTGAATGACTCATGTGGCAGGTGTATGTTTAACTTTTCAAGAAAGTGACAAACTGTTCTCCAAAGTGGTGGTGTCATTTTACAAATCAACAGCACAATGTGAGGTTGCTCCATAGCTGCTCCACAGTTACTTCACAGTTGCTCTGTGCCTCATGGACTTGACATGGCCATTATTTTTATTATTATTATTTTAGCAATTTGAGGAGCTATACAGTAGTATTTCATTGTAGTGTTAATTTTGTACCAATAGTAATAATAATGTACATCTTTTTATGCAATCCTTTGTCATCCATATATCCATCCTTTGGGGTATACTATTTCTTCAAATGTTCTGCTCAGTTTTTTTCATTGTGTTATTAATGAATCTTAAGAGTTACTAATATGTGCCACATCCTCTATTATATATGTGATCTGTAAATATTTTCCCTCTTCTTACACTCTTTAGTTATCTTCCAGTGAACAAGTTGAAGCTCCTAAGTGTAATGAATCTAGTTTGTCAATTTCATTTTTCTTTCATGTACTGTGCGTTTGGTGTTGAGCTGACAAGACTTGCCTAGCCAAAGATCGAAACCGGTGTCTTCTGTTCTCCCCTGGTCGTTTCATGGTCCGAGTTTGCACTGGTGTGTGCGGGCTACTGAGGTGCACTTCCCTGCACACAGATACTCAGTTGCTTTGGCTTCTCTCTTCACTGAACTGCCTTTGCAAATTGGCTGCGAATCAATTGTCCACATAAGAGGGAGTTGATTGTTGCACTGTCTATTCTGTTCCAGCCATTCTTTATCTGTGCTTATACCAGAGCACTTTGGTTATTGTAGGATTTTAATGTTCCGGAGCTACATAGCATTAGCCCTTTTTATTCTTCTTTTTCAAAATAGTCTTGACTATTCTAAGTGCTTCACATTTTTGCACGAATTTTAAAGACAGCTTGTCAATTTCTACCCCTTAAAACATATGCTGGGATTTCACTGGGATCGCATTGAATCTAGAAATTAGTTTGGGGTACAGATGGCATTTAAATAGTAATAAGTCTTTCAGTCTGTGAACACAGTGTGCCTCTCCATTTGGGCATCTTCAATTTCAGCTTTGTTTTATAGTTTTGTATGTGTCCGGCTCTCGATTTTTGTCTAACCTATCACTAGATAGTTCAGACTTTTATGCTACTGTAAATCGTATTCCTTATTTGACATGTCTTTATATACTCCCACAATTTATTTCTGCATATTAATTTCTACACTGCAATGTTTTTAAATTCACTTGTTAATCCCAATAGTTTTTTATAGATCCCATTGAACTTCAAGATCTATGACCATATGTTCACGAAAGGTTTTAGTTTTCTAAGTTTTCTGCAATTTAGTTCTTTTTCTTACTTGATTTCACTGCAAAAAAATTATATAAGATGTTCAAAGATGTAGTAAGAGTAATCACACTCTCAAGTTCCTGCTCCTGAAGGGAAGATACTCAATCCATCCGCACTATATGTGGTACTAGCTCTGGGTTATTCAAGCACACTCTTGGCCTGGTTGACGAGTCTCCATCCCCCTATATATCTTTTCCTCTGAGATCTGGGTCTTTTCGAATGTGTTTTGCTACAACATAACCATGAGTGTTTTCTTTAGAAATATGCTGCCATGATACATCACAGGATTTGATTTTTAACATCAAACCATCCTTGCATCCCTGGACCAAGTCAGCTTTGTCCTGTTTAGATACTATCACTGATGTTTTGTTGATGATTTTCTGTGCACATACTTATGAAGGAGACCAGTCTAGGCTTTTTTAAATATTTTGGTCCATTTCACTATTGGGATGACACTGGTCTCACGAGAATCTTTGGGGAAGTATTCTCCTCTGTTCTGTTTTCTGGAGGAGGTGTATGATGTCAGTAATACTTGTTCCTTAAATATATGCCAGAGGTCAACAGTAAACTCATCTGGTTCTGAGGTTTTCTTCAGGTATTTTAAGCTACATGTCCAGTTTCTATAACAGTAATATGACTACTCAAGCTTTCTATTTCTTATTTAGTATGTTTTCCCAATTTATGACCTTCCAGGAACTGCCAATTTCAAATTAGTTGTCAGAGCACTTAGCATGCCAGTTTTCATAGTATCCCTTTCTTAGGGTTTTAATGTCTTTGA